CTGCCTTCAGAAGAATGCATTTACTTCTTCCCTGTCTGGTTCCACAAGCCAGGTCCTTCAGCCATCTCAACCTAGTCTTTTTTTCCTATGGTCTGTGCCTCTCAGTCCCAGAGTTGAATAGGTATACCTGAATCATTGCCTATTTTTCCCCATGAACCACATATATTCATTAGTCTATGCTGTTAGCAACTTAACTTTTATTGGCAGATAAGTGGTTTTCCATTCAAGTTCAGATGGTAAGGTTTTAATCCTTCAGATATAAATTAAGTTCCTGATCCTGAGCAAGCATCCTTGTGTAGGTAAGTGTTAATAGGTGAGGCATAAAAATTTGAATCACATGCTCCTGGAAACAGTTATATATCTGAATAGCTCTGTTGACTTCAGCATGTTGCTGGCATATAGGATTATGCAAATGCCTGAGACTTTGCAGGTTCATGGCTTGATGAACATTTAATATTACATTGACATGCACTCTGCGTTCAGAAGTCGCCTTATTAAGCAAAACCTCCTGGTGACAATTGCTTGTTTAACCCATTTTTGTGTCTATAGGTCTCCGAGTCATGTTTTTGTGAATGCAACTACGTATTTTGTCATCAAAAGAGTTGGGGGTTTTTTTAGTGAATTTTGTTTTTTACCTTTGACACTTCAGGGGAGGAATGAACCAAGTCACAGGGTTCAGAACGTTGCTGCTCCCTAGGAAGGGCTCTCTGCTCCAGATGGAGCAGTGAACAGGCTGCCTGCTGGAGCAGGCAGTTGTGGCAGTGAGATGAGTACAGGTGAGCAGGTTGCAGCGTGCAGCCATCGTCCTCCACTTCCAGAGAAAGCTAGAGGAAGCTAGCTGGACACTCATTTTAGAAGACAAAGATAATTTTCTGTCTCATTTTGGGGTCTATATTATGCTTTCCAGAGGAGCTGGGATTGGCAATACTACTTTTTTTGCCCCAGACTTTCAGGGTATATGTGATCTTGTCTGAAGGTGTTTGCTGATACCTGACAGTCTTCAGTTAAGGTCAAGACAAAGCCACAAAAGTGTCAGATGAGTAAGAAAATATTTTTCTCTCTGAAGTTTCGTAGGTGCAGTCATTAGTATTCCTCATAACTATAGTAAAAGTAGTATCAGATGGAGTTTGGGAACTCAAATGGGTTTTGTTAAATTACTGGGCTTCCAGTAATTTGTATGCTGTCTTCACAAATCCTGTACTTGTGATGGTGGGAAAGGGGCTTCTGGGTCTTCAATGGCTCAATGCAGATGTCTAGTGATGAGGATTCTGCAGTCTCCTAGGGTTAATTTGCTTAACTACTGCCAGCATTAAAAGGGTGATTATTGTCTTTGCAGCAAAGCAAGTGACATGTATAAGCCTGGTAAGGAGAGAAGCATGCATTTTACACTTTGGAAAACTGTTGCCTTTTCTTCTCAGCCTTATCTTTTCCAGAGGAAGCAAGGCTACAGAAACTGATTTTCCATTGTCATGTTCCCTTGTTCCCTGTGCCTCTAATCCCTCTAGTTTTCCCTTTCTAGCCTCCTTTAGAGGAGAAGGGAACGATGAGGGGAAAACCAGTGTGCCATATACACTTTGTTCTGGGGTTCCAGCTGAGACCTTGCTAGAACTGACCCTCCTGGGAGCATTCTATGAAAAACATGTGGTTTGGTCTGGTTGATGCCCCTTAGTGTCCCATCACCCTCACCCAGCAGCTATATTTCTCCTTTTGAGCCTTTTGAGTATCTTGCATCGTCCACAAGTTCCCCATAATACAGTGGGACCCCATTAACCGTCATATTATTGGACATTATTGCCTTTCTAGTGAAATGTGACATTTCATAGTTATTTATTTCTGAAAGGCTTGGTAGGAATGGTCACTGTAATGAAATGCATAGAGGCAGTGGCATTGAGGCATCCTAATGGTCTCTTGTGAGAGTGATGACATTTGGGTATTCAAGTGAGGTGGTGCAGCTGTGTTGCTGTTCATACCTTGCAGCCTTCTCAGGCTCCAGTATTACACAAACATCTTATTTAGGCACTCTCCAAACTTACATAAGCAGCCATAAATCATGTGAGCAGTCCCAGTTAAGACAAAGGGCATAGTATTTGCAGGGTGGGTCTTTAGATTGATTTTAATCAGTTATTTCTTGGAATGGATTTCTGTGACCAATATCTTCTCTGGCTTAGTGGTAGTTACAAAGCTTTAGATTACAAAAAGTTGAAATTAACTTCCCCATTTTTTCAGTTTCCTTCTTTTTTTTTCTTTTTTTTTCTTTTTTTAATTTGCATAGAAAATAACTTACTAATTCCTACTTTAATTCAGTGTTATTTTTTTTCCTAATGTTTGCATCCTATCCTAAATTCAGCAAAACAGAGGTAGAGTGTGAGATACTTCATGATAGAACAAAATTGGCATGTAATAAAAAGACAAGTTGAGATTTATCTGTAGGATCATGTATAAAGTGGATTAAATGCCAATAAATAGAGGCAGGATTGCAAAAGTACTTACGGAAGTAAAAATAAAAATCAGTTGTCCTCAAGCACTTTAAACTCCAGTAAATGTAATTATTTTGTCAGTGGGATATTTGCTATGAGATGAAGGCTGCTACAAGAGTTTATTTTGCCATCATAAGCTGCAAGGACATTTGGAAATACTTTGAGATAACATCCTCTGGATTTAAATAAGTAATTAAGTTTAGTTTTTTCTTTACTAGAGGGGGAGAATCCTCATCTAAGAGAATGTGCTGTGCCAAAGCAAACACATCTGCAGTACGGACAAATGCAACTTTGATTTTCACTTTCAGCTTCAGAAGATGCCATGGAAAACCATCAGGGTTTTAGGTTTTTAGTGGATGGGCTCCCATCCACTGCCATGGCATACACCAGCACACTTGCTGCCTGGCCTGCCTGCTCTGCTCACTGTCGTCTGCTTCCTGCCTCACTGCACTTTCTGTATAGTAATTGTATGATCATATTTGAAATAATTTACTGAATCTGAAGTATTGCTTTGTATCAGTTTACTGTATAGATAGGTTACTGCAAGCTAGACCTCAACAACTCATTAGTAAGCAAGCAGTGCAGCTCTTCCCAAACTGCGGGAATTGTATCTGACAAGAAGATCTCAAATAAACCAATACAAATTTGTAGAAACACCCCTTTTTCACAGCCTTTCTAGACAAGTGGTGTCTCTGGGAAAGTGCAGCAATTAATGGTAAGGAAAGAAACAGCAAGTGTTTAATGTGTTTTTAGCTTTATATTATGCAGTTAGCTTTTGGAAAAAACCCTTAGCTTGCTTTGTCTGGTTTTGATGGTTTTGCCATCGGGAGTGCTCTGCCGACCATTGGGAGTTAATTTCATTCCCCCATTCATTGGAGTGTGTGGCTAAGGAGGCAGTTCTCTTTGGTGCCAAATGGACACACCTGAAAGGCTCCATCTGGTCTGGAGAGCTACAAGGCTGCTGTGTGCTTGTGAGCTGGCAAAGCCCTGGGGTGGGAAAGCAAAGACAATTAATAGGCTATAAAGCTGCATTGAACAAGTTGTCCATCCAGCTCAGGGTCCTTCATCCATCAGTGGCCAAATCCATGTGCTGTAGAGGATGGTTGGTGTATCAATTCCATACCTTATTCTGTCCCTAAAAGCGTGATTCTCCAGCATCATTCCAGAGGCTCATAATGACCTAACCTCCAAGGTTAATTATCCTCTGCTCATCCATAAGACTGCAGAGCTGGATGGGGATAGGCAAATTCTTCTTGACTTAGAACATAAGATACAGCCTATGTACAGGAGCTGGGTATTGTGGATACACAGAGCAGCAGCTCCTATGGGTATGGCTGAAAGTAGCTGCTTTAAGCTTAATTTAAAAAAAAATAAATAATTTGTATCATGACACTCTTAAAACATCTATGTATCCATTTATGAAACCTTTCATCTGTTAGCCCGTGTGGTTTAGTTTGGTGTGGGACTGCTAGTGGCAATGCAGCACTGTGCTCAGAGATGTAGCAAAACTCAACATTAGCATTTGCTTTGAATTTAAATAATGCAAATAGTGGTTAGGAAGGGGTGTGCCTGTTCACTGTCTGCAGGTGTGTGTGCTTGGTGACGCTGGCCTCTCCAGAGGTACAGAATAAACCAGTGCTGGGATCTTCCTTCGACATGATGAGCTCTTGTTTCCATCATGGTACTGAACTGAACTCTGCAACATGGGTTGTTCCTGTTAATCTCTTCTGGTATATATTTGGGAGTTTTATGTTGTTGTTTCCAGTTGTGAATTCCCAGTTTAAGCCAAATGAATAGTCCTTACAGGATGGATTCATCCTAGCAAATGGTCAAAAAAAGAGTGCATTTATAAGGCATGTTTAATTAGTGATAACTATTGACAGATGAGCAGTATCCTTCATGTCAACACTACATGGAATTTTAAGCTCTGAGGCTGAATGATGGAAATTAGCTGCTTAATTTAAATATGGCTAGTTTAACTTTTCATTTTCTTTAAAATTAACTGTATGACTAAAAAGAAAACACTTCTTTGAGTTTCCAGTGGAAAATTCTTTGTCCATAAATGAGAAGAGCATCTGGCAAAAAGCCTGTTTAAAGATGGGAGTCCCCCGCGCTTTCCTTCTTGGGTAACCGTGACCAAAACCACTTGTCCTTTTCCTTGGTGGCTGTGCCGCTGGAGATGACTCCCTTTCAAGTCGACCTTTTCTGATATAATCATTTAGTCAGTGCCAGGGGCTCTTCTCATTTATGGACAAGGAATTTGAGAGGGTGCTGCTGCGCCTTCCTCTTCCACAGTGGTCCTGTGACAGGAGGAGACGCACTGTCCCTGCAGGCTCAGGATGGATGGCGTGACTTGTGTGTGCTGTCACCTTCTTCGAACAAGACAGCAGAGCAGTATTTCTCTTCACCATCACCAGTAATGCATACATGTGTGTGTGCCACATACTGCTTACAGCACTTTAATACAGCCTTTAGTATTTGCATCTTCAAACCCCTATTTTCCTTTTTCTTTGCTTTTTCCAGAAGAGCTTCCTCAGGTCCGGGAGTTAACAAAAGGGAGTCACATTGGCCCCATGCACTAGGAAATGTTCAACTGCTTCCCAAGCGCAAGAGGAAGAAGAACTAGTGCTGCAGTGCCATGAAGCTTAAAACTACGCAGAAGGCTTAACACTGAGAGATACTTCTTACTTTTTTTTTCCAGTTTTCAGTGTATCTGGGTAACCAGTAAATGCTGAACTTTCACATAGCTGTCAATTAGGCTGCCTTAAAATAACCAGACTGGTGTGCTGATGGGTTTTCTTTACAACACTGCGGGCCATTTAACTTGTTGGGTATGAAGTGCTGGAGTCCAGCTGGAGCCTCAGTGAGCTCTTGTGCCACATGCAGCTTTGCTGCTGAAGTATATGGCTTTGAATATTGCAGCCACTCCTGCGCACATCTCATCCTGCAGGAGCTTGCTCTCTCCTCTTGGAAGCAACCACCGGACAGTGTTTTGCTTGGGGTCAGGCAGATGCTGATGCTCTGGTTCCTTGGCTCAGCTGGGGGAAGGCATGGGGCAGCTGAGGGATGGGGCAGACTTTGAGTCCACAGGAATACACTTGTTTTTAATACATCCATGTATATGTACTCGTTAGTATGTGTCACTACTTCAGTTTGAAGTCATGACATTTGAAAGGAATTGGAAGGTCATTGCACATTCAGTATTCTAGCTTTAAACTAAATATTAGCATTCGAAAGTCTCATCTTTCTTAGAAGATGACAGCTTTGTAGTGGAATACAGCAATGCAAGAGAGTTAAAGTACACCTGAACAAGAGTGCACAGCTTGCAAGCAAAATACATACCATGCAAAATGCTCAAAGGTGTTCTCACTGAGCCTTGGAGCTTTGCTCATAGCCTTCCATCAGAAACGTAGCAAAGACAGCACAAAGTCTGTATAAGATTGAGAGTTGTCTGTCTTTTGACTTTGGGCTGTAGCTGTAATTGGGACCAGACATTGCACATTCAAAAATACTCTTCCTCAAACTGTGGTTGCCAGCAGTATTTTTGTTCAGAGCAGGCTAAATCTGAGGCCAATATGAACTGTAATAACACCACTGAGGTTAGTGGATGCAGAGGAAAAAGGGGGAGCGGATTTGTTTTGTTTGTTTGGGGTTATTTTGTACTAAAAGTGAACCTTTTTGACTTCTGCTTTCAGGTCTGCCTTAATACATGACCAGTCTAATTCTGTGCAGTTCACCAGAGAAGAATAAAAATGTTTGTATGCATAATGGTCAATGAAAATTCATGTAGACCAGTTTACATCAGCTGCCAAGCATCCCTTGGAGGTCTTTATGTTTTAATTATAATTGAGTTAGCAGGGCTTCATTTTCTTTAATATGGTAATAATATCCACTGTCATACCCAAAAATTAGCCTCAAACTCTATCAGTACCAACACTGTGAGCTCAACACTGAGGAGGAGTGTGAGGGTACCTCTGAAGAGGCTGGAGGAGGAGCCCATTTTGTTCTGCTCAGTTTGTGGTGCTGAGCAGCACTGGCTGCTGCAGCAGGGGCCTGCCACAGCCCATCAGCCTTCCCACAGCAGTGGGATCTGAAACAGTACCATTGCTGGCTTGATTTTAGAGTACAGTTACAGACTTAGGCAGGGGGCTGTAAGGCTGGGAGCCCTTGACAGCTGATTCATATTCATGATTCATGGTTCAAGGGCCAACGTGTTAAAGGTCAGCCTGGTGCTGTTTACTCCATGAGGTCCCTAACAATGCTGGGTTGGCAGGGAAAATTAGGATCCTGTGATACTTACCTACATGGGAGCTTTCCTTTTGAGAATTGCTTATGGGCTATAAATATGTTGTATTGAGAGCAGATAATTCTTTGGAACCAGGCGCCACTCACAGAGTTAAATTTGTAGTTAATGACAGTAACTACTGCTGCAAGGTGGAAATGTGTTTCAATACCCAATAAGGAGAAATAGTCAACTTTATTAAGTAAGTATGAGCTAGGAAGTGCTTAGAAAAATCAATATAAAGGGTGAATAAACCCATGAAACATGACATACATACTGTGTGCCTTAGTGCTGCAGAGGCTAGTGCAGCCCTTGTGACCATCCTCCTGGGTGGCAGGAGCAGAGCAGTGAGCAGCAGTGCGGTCCTGACTGTCATCACATCTTCAGAATGTGTCCCCTGACACTTGAGGAACGCAAGAAAAAGCATTGCCCTTGGAAGTTCTACCCTTTAATGTATAAAAAGTCTTAAGCTGTGGAAATGACTTTTTTCCTTCCATTCATTCAATCAAATCTTTCTCCAAGCAGAAAGCCAGAGCTTGGTGCTCCTTTGGTGTGCATTATGAAAGATTCCCTTCCTGTCAGCCTGGGCAGAACGTGCAGAGACATGAGCCTTCCTAAGAGTGCTTTAATCTTATGCATATATTTTCAGTATAACCCTTTTTGTGGCCATTTGCATCGACCTGCTATCTTGGATCTGAGGTGACTTTCCCAAAAGAGAAGTTTTCAGCCAAAATAAAAAACAAAATGTTTATGATTCTGTGATTTTTTTATATGCATCTTCTTTGTTTGCTGCAAATACAAGCCTCCAGTGTTTCTTGTTTTAATACTGATTTTGGCATCTACAGCTGCCCTAGCTTGCATTGTCAGTGTGGCTGTTTATCTGGTGCCTGTGGTGCTGTACGATGCTGTGTGCCAAATCTGTAACTGCATCCGCATTGCCCATCACCCCTGGGGACCTACGGAGGTGGGATGGAGCAAATCCTTGCCCCTTTGTTTCAGCTGCTATAGGTCACATTGGCTTCTCTGTGGGCTATGGCAGTGGCTGAGCTGGGTTTGGATGTGTTCTGGGCTATGAATGGTGCATGGAGGTTGAGATAGGGGGAGGCTCAGGAGCTCCTTCTCAAGGCTGTGTTGGCTCTACTGTTCTCATAATCTGTTTTCACATAATTAAGTGATGAATCAAGTGTAATGCTTCTGCTCCTTCCTCCTGCAAGGTGAAGGAACTCCTGGTGCTGTGCATTGGGGAGGACGAGTAGAAGGGAGGAACTCAGAAGATGCAGCCTCTCTTTACTGGAGGAGCAAAGTCTTGAGGGGACCAGTAACATCAAGTGCAAATCACAGCCCTCCCATCCCTGCAAACATGTCAGACCCTCATGTGAAAATGAAGCCAAGTTGCTGAGGGAGCGTGGGGGATTTTGGAAGGGGTTTAGCACTGGCTTTGCTGGTCTTCGGGAGCAGCATGGCAACAGCAGCGTTCAGAGGATGCAGCGCTCTGCCTTCTGAAGAAACAGCAGAATCTGGTGGTCCTGGAAAAGAGGTGAGTTTGGGGGAGAGGTTGGAAGCAGATCCTGACCCCACGGCCCTGGGACAGTGAGGGATGCATGGCCGGGATCTCTGTCCTGCATTTAAGAGCGGTGTGGTGTAGTAAATGAAACAAATCCAGCCAATGTCTTCCTTGCAATAAGTAGAATTTAATTCAGCTTCCACTTTCTTTAACCATTTTACTTGTCCAGACTCTTTAGGAAGCCCACTGTAATGCAATAGTCCATTTGCTAAGGAAACTTACTAACTTTCCAGTATAGGCAGCTTTAAATCAATTACTTAATGATCAGACAAAATACACTATCATATATAAATTCTGGGATACTGACTTCAATGGGTGAAAGACTCCATCATGAGGTGACCCTGCAAGTCTTGATGCAATCCTCCTTGGCTTGTCTTCTCCTGGCTACCATCCTCTGAGTGATAACAGAACAGCTATTCAAAACAAGTCAGCAGGATGGTGAACACAAGAATCCTGCTGTTAGGTTATGGTTCAAACAGAACGGGCTGTCGTGTTTTCCTTGGGTGAAGTGAACTTCCATACAGAAGCAGTGACCCACTCGAGTCACTGGTTTTGAGAGCACAAGCTGGGACACTTGTCCCAGCAGATAAGCCGTTACTGAGCATCTCTGCAGGGACAGCTCTGTCTCCATGAGGACTACAGGACCTTCAGCAGAAGAGGGGCTGGCAGCTGGAGGGACAGGCCAGAAACTGAGCACTAAACCATGCCACACTCCGTAAGCACCCAAGGCCACAATGAAGGGCTTAAATAAAAGCAGCCTGATGCGAAACCTGAGTATGCCAGCAGTAATGTCACCAGGGTGCTGTGCTGGGGAACTGATGGGCTTTTCTAACACCTGCTTTGTACTGATGGTAATTAACAGAGGTTTATGTTTCAGCAATAGCATCACCGTATCCACTGTGGATTTGGGCTTCTTTTTGGTGGCTTGTATTGCTTTTAGTGCTGCCAGAAAACTCTTGACTGTTTTATGTGTGCCATTCATCACAGCGGCTGAATGGAGGGTATTTATTTCAGTGACGCTCTTAAGGACTGGAAAGCAAATGACTTGCAAATAATTATAAATAGCTGTAAAGCTGAAGATGTTTTTTAGCTTCATTCGCTGCCGAGATATGACAGTTATGGAAATGTCATCCTGCTCCTCAGAAAGGTTCCTTAAAATACCTCATCAGTCAGAAAACACACATAGTGCCCATGGAGTGCTGTCCTGGAGATGAACCCTGGAGTGCAGGCAGCATTACAGAGGTTGAGGGAGATCCGAGGGCATCTCCACAGCTCCATTGTCACAGTGGTCCCCTGCAGGCTTGGTCCCATCTTGACTTTGGTGGGAGCCCAAAGCCAAGCTGCTGTTGGCACAAGCAGCTGGGTCCCGGGTACCTTTGGGGATATCTGCCACAAAGGAAATGATTTATTATCAAATATGCTCATAAAGAAGCCATGTTCCTAAACCAGGCAAGTCTTATCTTCAGCCAAGGAGCAGCTGTGTGGCTGTGACTCACTAGTCCTTGGTGGTGGATGTGAGCCACCAAGAGCTCATAAAGCCATCACCGAGTGGTTTAACGGCATCCTGGTGCTGCCTGCAGCATCCCTGCCTCCTGAGGTGTCCATCCCCACACTGGGGCTGCTGGTAGAGCCAGGGCACAGGCAGCAGCCTCTCCTGCCCCCCAGGGCCAGGTCCCAGGCATGGGAGAGGCACTCCTGAAACAAGGAGGCAGCTTTCTTCTTGCAGTCTCCTTTTCTGCAGGAAACCAGAGCTTTCAAGGCCTGACTCCAGCCTTGCAGCTGAACAAAATCAAGATGCTGGGATTCCAACAGATCCTCATCAGCCAGATGTGCCCGAGGCTCCACTGAGCCAGTTTGGTGCTGGTGGGTCGCAATGTGCCCGCATGGCCATCCTGCCCATCACTGCTCCCACAGGGGAGAACAGGAGGTTAGATTCTGAAGGAGAGGCAAAGGGAGCAGCAGGATTCACGTTCTTCCTCATCAGCGGTGGTTTCTGCTACCAAATACCTGCCTGCAGTGGGCTGGAACAACCCAAGGACTTCCTCAGCACACTGATCCCTCTCCTCCAGAGCCTCCAGTCTGGTTTCTGTGATCAGAAACAGAAGGTCTGCCTGAGAAAAGGTTTTTATAGAGATATTTGTTGCAAACTCTAATTTCTAGGAAGTTAAACAAGGCTGTTTTCAAGGGCTTCCACTGGCTGAAATGAAGTTTTATCATACCAGTGAAATGGGAAAAATATGTCTGAGCATATTTATAGACCCAGCATATCTTTGAAGTGATTTGGGGGTTTATGAAATAAAAATTGATAGAAATTAGCTTAAGATTTAAATGAACTAAAATCTTTAAACATCAAAGTGCTCACTTTTAATCCATATGGTTGCCGAATAAATACTTGAGCAATAGGATTTCTGGGTGAAAACCCCTGAATGTGAGGCTTGTCTGTTCCTCGACCCATGTGCACAATCTGAGCGCTCAGTGTGTGAAGGCAGAAGTTTGATTATCAAATGATCTGTCTTACCTATGACAGTCACTTGGCAGCGCTCTGTTTGGCAGGAGCTGTTTCTTCAGTGTTGTTTCTCCATCACTGCTGAGTATGTGTGGTGTTGTGGAACAGTCGGATAAAAATGCTAGAACAGAGATGTTTATTTGCATGAAGGTTGTACTGTTGTCTAAGCTTCTCGCTTTGATGGCTTTCTTACTGTATGTTGGGGTCATGCACGCAGAATTACCCAAGCTTTCAGCTCTTCTTTGCTGTGCTTGGTTATCCAAGTCCTTTATATTGTTCCCCATTGGCTAACCTGGAGATGGGTCTTTGCGTACCAGTACTGGTGTT